AATAGACCTTTCCGGAGTGTCAATCAAACTTAACAACTGACTAATCAGAACAACGCTAGGAATACGCACGCGTCTTACAAACACGCGTGTTGTCCCACAAACGCACGTGTTCGCGTATGTTTTAACACTGCCGTCTTGTGGGGCCTTAGCAACAAAATCCAAGGGGCGGAGCTTAGCGGAAAGGTCCATTTGCCTAGTAACGATGAATTCGTCCAGAAAATAGTAATATTTTATGAGAAATAGTCTGTATTTCTCATTTTTTTTATTCTTTTGCGTAAAACTGAAATTCATGCCAATATTTTTCCATGATGTATAATAATTGGAGTAATGCAAATGAATATTTTCTAAAAAAAGTCAGTTTTTAGTGAAATTTTGCCGGGAATGGGGCTTTAAATGAACCATAAAAAAACATAAGATGGCGATTATAATTTGTTTGTGAACCTGTGGTGAGCCCAGTTTGTTTCTACTAGTCCAAAAAATAAAATGAAAGTAGAAGCCCTTATTTTTTTTTAATTGGTCATTTAGTTTAGATTAGGACATTATGCTGGTAGCACTACTTGTAGTGGAATTTGATACATTGGCTAAAGTTTATGAATAATCGTGATACTATGCAATTCCAGTACAATTCACAACTTGCACTAAATACTGGGAAATATTTTTTTAAAAAGTCAGCAGCAATGAAGGAAGTGAGCAATCACTGTTCTAGTTTTAAAGCTAATGTTTTTTACTTGGCTATAATATGTGTAACTATAATATATAATGTTTGTTTAGTCTGAAAAAATATTTACAAATTGTCTAGATTCCTGGCCATGTCAATTCCATGTCAAACAGCACTTCTGTTGCTCCATTGTGTAACAGTGTTGGTTTTATTGGCCAATAATTACTTTTCAATCTGCTGATCTAATCTCATTTCAAAAAAGCTGCCACTGACTGCTGCCTTTTTTAGACTTATCTTCAGGCTCTCATTATTTTTAAGGCAGCCTAAAAAATTACGGCCCACCAAAAATTTGAGCAACATTTTCTGGCTTCTGTGCATCACATCTATGATTTAAATTTTGAAGGCTATTTTACATTGCAAACAGTTACATAACCCCCTTTAAATGTTTAGACAAAACCAGTGGGAGGGTTAATTATTTTTCAAACATTCTTGAAGATGCATTAAATTTAGTTGTGTAAGATTAAAATAGGAAAATTCAACATAATTACATAGCTGTAGACCATAGGTGGGCAAAGTGTGCCCCGACAGTGATTATTTTGTGGCCCGCAAAAATGAAATAAAAATCCTATGTGTGCGGCACACCAACCATCTTTGGCTAGAAAAGACCTTGTTTTTAACTGAATGACACCAATCATCTGTAAAAAGTAATATTAAAACTGAGCATAAAGCTGTATAAAAGCAGTGCATGGAGATTTTTAAGTTTGGGTGTGGCTCTCAGTGTTAAATCAAAAGTTCACTTTGGCCTTCCAACCATTTTTATGCCCACCCCTGCTCTAGAATATTGTTTGTGTTATCTTATTGATAGAACTCAGACCACAAAATTCTTTTAGCAGTCATGCTTGTGTACATTATATTAAATTATGATTGTGTCAGACATTTTCAAATTGAATTTCCTTAACAGAAAAATACCCTGAGGTGAAGAAGTTAATGGGTCATGATAACAACACAGCTACTACAATGGTTGTCATGGTGTTGACCCAAGTGCTGACCTGCTACCTAATCCAAGACCAGTCGTGGTTGACCATTCTTATCGTCGCGTACTGTTTTGGTGGTATTGTGAACCATGCTATGACGCTTGCCATCCATGAAACTGGACATAACCTAACATTTGGACATGGCCACCCGATGCGAAACCGCATCATAGGTTATATTGGTAACACCATCATCGGTGTACCAATGTCGGTGTCGTTCCGACGCTATCATCATGATCACCATCGTTACCAAGGACAGGAGCATTTGGATCCGGATATACCAACTCATACTGAAGGCATACTATTTTATAACAGAGTGACCAAAATGATTTGGATGTTTTTTCAACCTTTCTTTTATACATTGCGTCCATTTTTCTTACGACCAAAGGTTCCTGGCCCTCTAGAATACTACAATCTCATTATTCAATTGGTATTTAATGTCTGCCTTGTATATTTCATGAGCTTTAAAGCATTGTCATATTTACTACTGAGCACATTCTTAAGTTTAGGGATTCACCCAATGGCAGGACATTTCATCTCTGAACACTACGTAGCTGTTGGAGATTATGAAACGTATTCTTACGATGGACCATACAATTACTTGGCTTTCAACGTCGGATACCACGTTGAGCATCATGATTTCCCCAATATACCAGGAAAAAATTTACCACTGGTATGTATTATTTTATTTCAATTATTTATAAAGGTTCGCATATTCTTATCATAAGGCTAATAAAATGTAGCTATTTTTGTTTGAATAATCATGATGTTTCCAACATTTGAACTTATAAGCAATGGCCAGATTATAAGATTTTCTTTTGGCAAAAAAAACAACCTTGTATGGCCATATAGTCATGATGTGCATACAGTCACTGTGTGGTGTCATCAATACAAAATTTAGACATGTAGCAAGATTTTGTCACATAAACTTGAATAGTCTGAACAAGGCTTTAGGCCCCTGGAATCGACTATCAATTAACTTTTAATTGAAAATGAGAACAAAAATATCCATCAAACAGTCTTCAATCTAAATGGTGTGGAATATGATTAACTTGATTCGAATGACGTTACCTTGTATTTTTTCTCAGATTTGAACTTCATTCCTGAAATTTCAACTTTTTTGTCAAAGCATAAGGCCACTAACATATTAATAATGTACAGTATATTTATTTTTATCTTATAGGTAAGAAAAATTGCTCCCGAGTTCTATGAAAACCAGAAATGCCATGAGTCATTCGCAGCCGTTGTATGGGACTTCATCATGAACCCAGAGAATGGGCCATTTAATCGTATTAGGCGACCAGATTCACGGGACCCAACTCTACCGGATCCATGGATCCGTTAAGCTATTATACTATCGAATGTGTAATAAAGGCGCTTTTCATTATAGTAATGTGCTCGCAGATTTTATTTATGGCTAATTTGGAGGAGGTTAGTCAGTTTTATTTTGTAATATAATTAATACTCGGATGGCCATTATAGCACAGTTTTGAATGTAACTTTAGAGTGGGCTTAGAAGGTAACTATAGATTTTCTCTCTTGTTTTTAGACAAAATTTGTTATGCTCTATTAACTCTTGCCTTATTATGATGAGGCCTAGGATGTGGAAGTGTTTCAGTTGCAAGACAAAATATATGTGTTTTTTTTATAGGCTTTAAACCCAGGAGCCGGGGAATTGAAGGTGAGCATTTTTACCATTAAGCTCCAGCTTAACTTCCTTGATGAAAATCACTCCTAGCGACTAAAAAATATGATCCAAATATCCTACGTATAAAGTTGTTACATATGCTTAGAATGTATACATGTAGTAGTATGAATGTATTTCTTTTCCAAAAGGTATTAAATGAATCCAGTCAATGTTGGCATGGAATAAAAATAAAAACAAAATATGCAAGTTATAATTAATAATACGCAGTCTTCTGAACTTTGTTTTAAAGCAAGTAAAAATTAAAATTATATTAGTTCCTTATATTTTGAATATTTGTCACATAAAATTACATTGTGAACATGTATTTGAAAAAAGGCTACATCTTAGAATCACAACACTTGGATAACTCTAAAACTACCCACAATGAATATTTGGAAATACAGTATTGTACGCAAAACACTTAATAAAATATTTGGTATGTGTATTTTATACAACAATGAGGTTGATATTTTTGATATATTTAAGTATTATTTTTAAGCATTATCTGAGTTTTTGTGATGTGTTTGAACATTACTCAAAACTATTATACTACCAAATATTAGATTTACTTAGTCATTACTTCCAGCAAAACTATATTGTCTACTTCATGAAAACTATATTGTTGGATGATGGAGGTGTGGCATGGGTTTGTTTCTCCTTGTTTTAACTGCTAATAATTACATATTTAATAGTTTAATTAACTACTAATAATTTAATAGATATAAAAGTTTTGTTCTATATCGTATCCAGTTATAATATATTAATGATTTGAAAATGTCTTGCTTGCCTCAATTATATCAACACTATGTGATGTGAAAAACTAAATTCAGTGCAGTAAAATTTAAAAGTATGAGCAGCGCCCTCTTTGTCTAGATATACTATAGTTTTTGTAAGCTACCTATAGGTGGCGCTGTTGCATTTTAGTACTTATTGTATACAGTACATTATGCAGTACAATTTCTAACATATATTAATAAATATTTAGAAATTGATGGAATGGAACAGTAGCCTATTAATGTGATATAGTTTTATAGATCAATTGTGGATGCCTGGTTTCATTCACATTTTTTTTTCAGAATTTATCTTAATTATTACTGTATACAGTATTAGGAATAATTTAAGCAGCTTTACACTGGTTTTCTAGCTGATTGAAGTGGAAAAAATTGTATTGAATATTGAAGGCTTTGAATGTAATGTTGCTGGAAGTACTAATAGGGCTAGAGTTCAGATTGTATCAATCAATTCTTAACTTGTACTATAAACTTAATAAAGAACAACAGCACATATCAGCACAAAGATTTAGTCATATTTATGATATAACCAACCTACCTGGACAGATAATAATATTCACAAATACAAGATGATAAAAGCAAACAATTACTATTATGTTTATTCCCATTGTAATTTAAAATTGTAAGATAACTGTTTCAGTTCAGTGTGTGTGGGTGCATTTTATAATAATGTACATGCTTTGAGAATTTATTTAATGAGTATATTAGGAATTTAGGTATTTGAAGTGTAATATTAGTGCAAATACTAAGGAAAATATTAGGAACATGAAGCTTTAATGTTTTGTTTTATTAATATTGGAAGCACTATTGCTGAAGGGTTCAATAAACACAGTCAGCTACAAGAATCACATGACCTTTCGTTAATATAATAGTATTAAAACAGACATAGAAAAATGCATGATTTCTTTTGTAAGGCCAGTATAACAACTGTTTGGTGAGGCATGGCACATCAATGAAACATTACAATTTTAAAACCATTAACCATCATTGATGTCTGTAAATTCAATAATTTAGACATTTAGAGAATGGTATTATATATCTGTTAATTGACAAGAAAATTTCATTTCAGTTTACATAATATAAACAAAACTGAGAGCATTTAATGTTAGATTTACATGGCAGTTATCTTCATTTAAAATTGTAAAATAACTGTTTCACTTCAGTGTGTGTGGGTGCATTTCATAATAATGTACATGCTTTGAGAATTTATTTAATGAGTATATTAGGAATTTAGGTATTTGAAGTGTAATATTAGTGCAAAGGCTAAGTAAAATATTAGGAACATGAAACTTTAATGTTTTGAATATTATTAATATTAGAAGCACTATTGCTGAAGGGTTCAATAAACACAGTCAGCTACAAGAATCACATGACCTTTTGTTAATATAATAGTATAAACAGACATAGAAAAATGCATGGTTTCTTTTGTAAGGCCAGTATAACAACTGCCTGTTGAGGCACGGCACATCAATGAAACATTACAATTTTAAAACCATTAACCATCATTGATGTCTGTAAATTCAATAATTTACAGACATTTAGAGAATGGTATTATATATCTGTTAATTGACAAGAAAATGTTCATTTCAGTTTACATAATATAAACAAAACTGAGAGCATTTAATGTTAGATTTACATGGCAGTTATCTTTAAGGATTTGTGTTTGTAGACAATGTTTGTAAATCATCAAACTTTTTTTTGGATGTGTGTAATTTTAAGTTAATAACTTACTTGGTCTTTCAAAATGAGCTATTCAATGTTTTACATAAACTTTGGAGGGGTTTTTCATACTGTATTGTAATGAATGTATGAATACCTTTAATGTAATGGCAGTTAGAAGCATTAGCTTTGTAACTTTTTAGAACACACCCTGCCAGAAGAAGTTTGTGCCCACCAAATGCCCCCATTCCACTGAAAACTTGCTAAGCACAAAATAAAATTGCCCTCATGTAATAAAAAATCAGCTCATTCTGCAGGTAGCTCTTCTCATTTTCATGTTAATACAAAGCAAAAGCTAGCTGTCCTCCACTTCCTTATCAGGGGCGGATCCAGAATTTTTCAAACGGGGAGTGCACAACAGTCTCAGAATAGGTGAGTAGCACATAACATTAATTTACATTGAAAATTTTAAAATTTAGTCGCAAAACAGGGGGAATATTCCCCCTGTTCCCCTACTGGATGTGCCCCTGCTCATTCCCCCTCCCTGCTTCTTTCTCCATTCATTCTCCATTGTCATACTAGATATACCACTGATTAAATATCACAAGATTACCAAAAGTTGGTACGGCGGGCTTACAAAAGGGCTGAATGCGTCGCTGCTGTTGTCAACAGCAGCTTACGTGTTTCAGTGTTTGATGGAAAGCTAAAGATGTCCACACTATCTAATTCTATTTGACAAAAAATTATTGTATGCCCATATATAGACATGGTGTAACTATATATGGTCATGATGTGTCTATATATGGTCATGATGTACCTATATAATTATATTCATGATGTGATGCCATGACATATTTAGGCATGTTGCAGGTTTTTATAGTCTGGGCAGAGCATTAAAATACATTGTGTATTAATTTTTAATGTATCAGAGGAATTAATAATTATATGAATGTTTATGTTTCATTAGTAAATTCATATTTATGAAATAAACAAGAGACATAATGCAGTGTCTGTCTTTCTTTTGATTGAAGTGAGGCTATCATTTAAACTTGGATCTTTTTAGTACCACTTTGAAATTAGAATATTCAATGGCAGAACCCGTTTTCCTTACCGAACTGTGAGGCCATGTTGCCAATACATTTTCCAATCGTCACACTATGCTGAAGATAGATAATTGTTGTATTGTAACATGCTTCGCGGCTCAGAAAGAATCTTTATTGAAACGGATTATTTATTTAAAGCATTAAATCGGACAATAGGGAGAGCCAGGGGCGAAGCCCCAGTGGGTTCCGGGGGAGAAGCCTATAGCCTGTATAGAAAAATCACATTTCATTAATTTTTAAGGTTAACAATTTACAATTAAACATACTTACGTTCATAAAAATAATGTTTAGTCATTGTTATTCTTTCCACATGCTAAAAAAAAGTGTGTTTTGAACTATACACGAATGGTGAATAGTGAAGAAAATTGGTACGATGTCTATTACTGTGCTGTTGATAATCTTGTCACAGGGGCCGGCAGATCCAGAATTTTTCAAATGGCGGGGTGGGGGAACAATAGTTTCAGAATAGATAAGTGAGTAGCACATAACATTAATATGCATTGGCATTTTTAAAATTTAGTGGCAAAACGTGGGGAGGGGGATACTCGCTGCTGGATCCGCCCCTTTGTCACGTCACTATTAAATCATGTGCACATTCTGACACCTAGATACGTAAAAATAATTTAAATTTTTATGGTAAAACAACAATTACAGTTACTCCTATTTAAATTTTTGGCCTAAATCGTAAATCTACAAATACAATTACAACACTATATAATTCAATTACAAATATAATTTGCTTTTTTAAACACAAAACCCCAACTGGAGACAAAAACCGTAAATTCACCTGAAAGTGAGAATTCCTCCTTTCGATACGATCCACTGGGACCAAGTCTGTATTTAAAGCCTTCAAATCGCCATAATAATATTATGCAAGGTCTGCATCTCGCTGGCTAAAATGGAGCCAAATGCATGGCTAATCTTCCAAATAATTCCATTTTTTATATGTTCACCAACATCATCAGACGAACAACATGATTGTAATTTGCTATTATAAGCCTCGTCTTACCCGAGAAGTACAGTACAGTACCTGTCAACTTCCGCAGAAGAGCCTAATTTGCAACTACTATAGTTTGAGACACGCCCACTTCACATAAGGTGGTTTTTTTGGTTGATAGCGTTCTATCCCGCTATCAACCAAAAGCGAACCAGTCAATTCGAGCGGGAAAAAAGATCCACTTGTGCGAAGAGAAACTTGAAAATTTCCTATCTTCAGTTAACACTGTGCATTCGGCCGACGCTCAAGCTTTGTCTGGGAGCCAGGGGCGAAGCCCCAGTGGGTTCCGGGGGAGAAGCCTATAGCCTGTATAGAAAAATCGCATTTCATTAATTTTTAAGGTTAACAATTTACAATTAAATATACTTACGTTCATAAAAATAATGTTTAGTCATTGTTATTCTTTCCACATGCTAAAAAAAAGTGTGTTTTGAACTATACACGAATGGTGAATAGTGAAGAAAATCGGTATGATGTCTATTACTGTGCTGTTGATAATCTTGTCACAGGGGCCGGCAGATCCAGAATTTTTCAAATGGCGGGGTGGGGGAACAATAGTTTCAGAATAGATAAGTGAGTAGCACATAACATTAATATGCATTGGCATTTTTAAAATTTAGTGGCAAAACGTGGGGAGGGGGATACTCGCTGCTGGATCCGCCCCTTTGTCACGTCACTATTAAATCATGTGCACATTCTGACACCTAGATACGTAAAAATAATTTAAATTTTTATGGTAAAACAACAATTACAGTTACTCCTATTTAAATTTTTGGCCTAAATCGTAAATCTACAAATACAATTACAACACTATATAATTCAATTACAAATATAATTTGCTTTTTTAAACACAAAACCCCAACTGGAGACAAAAACCGTAAATTCACCTGAAAGTGACGTGCGAAATTCTATTTTAAAATATAAGTGTTTGCTAGCGGCCATCTGGTAGTCGGATTTGCCAAGACTGTAATTCAAACATGGAATAATTATCATCAAAAAGTACCAAAAACATTTCAGAACGTTAGTGCACAGAGCATTTTTTTTTTTTTTTTGCGCATTGAAAACAAACAATACAAGAATAGGTCGACGATAAATTCGCCCTTGTTATAACTCGCACTAAATGCATCCGCTCGAACTGTCATCCGCTCAAACTGGCATTCGCTCGAATTGACTGGCATTGAATCAAACGACCTTTAGACTAGAGCGAAAGTCTTCTAATCTATATTCTTTGGTTCTAGGCAAACACCGAAGGCCTGAGACTTGCCACGGGTTCGTTATCTTTTTGGTATAATATTTTCAGTTACGAAGAAGGAAACATCATCATGGGCGGCTCAGTTTCAAGGGATACCTTCGAATGGATTTATACCGAAGAACCACATTTTTCTCGTCGAAAAGCAATGCTTAGTAAGTATACTAATTTACTACTATCGTTCTTATGCCCGCTTGTTTACCAACTCCACTGAAGCATGAATGGAATGGGCTCCTGTTGTATTTTTACTCTTACAGGATAGCATGGAATGATTACTCGATGAAATGTGAATAATTAATCTTCGATGGGAAAATATCGTCAAACACTTTCCTTTTATTGTAATTAAATGAGTATTTTGTTTATGCATAGATCGTAGACTTGTACCATTATTATAACACTGAGATGAGCTCATTTCACTTCGGAAAATACAAGAGTTTTAATAATACAATTCCCGCATACTCCTTCTTAACTAAATCGATAAGCGCTGCGTTTTATCTAAGCCCTGCCCTACAAAATAAACACGATCAATTCAATGGCGAACGTCCTGTATCTATGTGTTTGCAATAATGAGGTTCTTTTACAAATTTACGCCGTTACTTTCTGTGCCTGGATCTATGCCACAGAGTCGCGTATCTATGGGAGCGCGGGAAGGGGGGCGGGGGACACACTCGGTTTATTGAAAGTGTTTGAGCTACCTTCCCCCTCACGTAATCATCAAGATAAATAAATCTCTAAAAATTAATTTTAGAAACGTTTACATCAAATGTTGGTCTGAATTAGAGAGGTCCATATAAATTAATAGTTAGGACGCAGATGAGATACAAAAATATCATCCTTAGTTCATTTGTATGACTGCCTAATGGCTTATTTTTTGAAATTCTCTCATTAGGGAGGGGGAAACACCCATGTCGGGGTGCCCTCCCGTCGGGTAAATCCAGCACCACCACTGGTATGGAATATTCATTTTTTATATAAATGTTAGCTCTTTTTTTTTACTGTACCAGGAATTATTATTGAATCATTAGTATTACAGGTATGTTTAAAGTAATATTATATTAAAGTGACTAGTCTGAGAGCATGCCATCTAGAGGTGCCTATTCTCAGAACTTATATTTGCAATTTTAGTCAGTTTTATCTACCCAATGCTTAAATATACAAAAAATTAATAATCATATTAATAATAACTAACATAACATAATAAATTAGTAATAGTTTGTTATGAACAGTAGCATAGGGATGGGCAGTGTAAAGCACTCTGAGCCCAGGGCTGTTAGAATCCCATTCATAAATAGACATAAAAATAATAATTGATAATTTTAAACTTAATATTTAAAAAAAAGTGACAGCCAGCAGGCCCCTCAATAATATTTAGGTTTTTAGTGGAGTAATTATGTGCTTGCGAGGGAAACTTGATGGTTCCCATCCCCATCCCCACTTGCCCTAACTCGGCTAGCATACCGCCCTTTGTTGACGCTCACATTAGGGTCCGACAATTTCAGTATGCACTGGTGCCCGTTCTCACCTAGCTGCGCCACTGATAATGAAATAATACTTGGTTAAAGCAATTACAACTTATTTTTTTTATTGTTTCTCAGAGAAATATCCAGAAATGAAGAAACTAATGGGTCATGACAACAACATGGCCAGGATCATGGTTGCTATGGTGATAACTCAGGTAATTGCATGTTACCTGATACAAGATGAGTCATGGTTGACAGTTTTGATTGTCGGTTATTGCTTTGGTGGAGTAGTCAACCACTCTATGACCCTTGCCCTTCATGAAACTGGACATAATCTACCTTTTGGACATGCAAAACCGATGCGAAATCGTCTGATCGGTTTCCTAGGCAACTGCATTATTGGCGTCCCCATTTCCATCTCGTTTCGCAGGTATCATCACGATCATCACCGTTACCAAGGAGAAGATAAACTGGATCCAGATATTCCATCAGAATTAGAAGGCATGCTCTTCCGCAATCGCTTCACAAAAATGATTTGGATGATTCTTCAACCAGGATTCTACGCCATTCGTCCATTCTTAAAGCGACCTAAAGTCCCGTGCAAACTAGAGTTTTACAATTTATTGGTGCAAATTGTTTTTGATGTCGGAATTATTTATTTCATGAATTGGAAAGCATTAGCGTATCTTTTCTTTGGAACCGTACTCTGTATGGGGATTCATCCATTGGCGGGACATTTTATTTCCGAGCATTACCTGTATGCTGGTTACGACAGCGAAACCTATTCATATTATGGACCATATAATTACATTGCATTTAATGTTGGATACCATATGGAGCATCATGATTTTCCCAATATTCCAGGACCTAAACTACCGCTGGTAAGAACAATTTAATTTATATTCCAGTCAGTGGCTGATTACCCCCCTCCCCCACCACCATAAATTTTTTAAAGTTAAAAAAATTGAAAATTATATTTAAATTTAAAGTATGAGAGATTCAAGAAAGCTTTTATAGTCCATTAAAAAAATAATCATTTGAAACCCAAATGCACTCAACCCAAATAGTCTGAAATCACCAATCACATATAAAGATATATAAATATATATAACTGCATAAAAAGACAAATTTAAAACACTAAAAAATTCGAGAGTTAAAACGTTAAAAAGATGAAAATTACAAATCAGCTTTAAAAATGTTAAATGAAACAATTCTAGATAAAACGTGTAAAAGTTATGTTTAAATAACCAGTTAAGATATATATAAAAATATTAAAAATACAAGCAAGCATAGCGTTAAAAAGATTCAATGTTAAAACCAGCTTTTCTGCCCATCTACAGTAGAAGTTCCATAATCATAAGTTACCTTGCCTCAGCCCCAACCATGGTAGGGATGAGGTACTGTAGTTTAGTGCCATGCATCTTAAACCTTTTTTTATTTAGGTGGCGACCCACTTTCAGACTCCTCTTATTTTTTGGAGAGCCAAGGCACTGTATATAATATTGTCATCAGTGTCGTAGTTATGGGCAGTGCAAAGGCCTGGAGTTATTGGAGTCTGATCAATAGGCCTACAGATCTAAAAATATAACTCAGAAAATTCCTACTTAAATTTTAAAAGGGTCCCTCAATGATATTAGGTTTTAGAGGCCAGTATTAATTACTAAGTTCATTAGAACTTTGCTATTACATGCCATCAAATACTGCAAATATAGGATGACTTTTTAACATTTCAAAAAAAAAAGAAGCCATGAACAGCTTTGTTTTTAAATTCATTCAAGGCTATTTTATTTTAATCAATCTTTCATACATAGACTTCCTACCACGGTACAATGCACTATAATTCTTTTTGAAAGAATATTTCTAAAACAATTCAAATACCGTATTGATATTATTCTTCTGAGGGCAGTTGAAGCAACTCAATCGAACATGAAGACATTCACAACAAACAAGAGTTCTGTTCAAAACTATGTGGTGTACTGCAAGCATTAATATATTATTACTATGCTGCAAACCTTTAAACAATAAATTTCTAGCTTTCATCTTTGTACGTAGCTACTGTACATCTGCGTATATTTGTCAAGTCTTTTTTGTTGGAGCACGACCCATAGTTTGAGAAGCAGGGATCTAGATTTTCCATCTGCAAGTGTCCCCTCTGAGGCCCCCTTTATTTTGAATTCCTGGACTTGCACTGCAAATGTTTAAATCCTGAATCCTATTACACTTAATAGTTTTTATTCAAATTTTATGTTTTAGATATAGAATTCAACCGGCTGTCTCTGTTACAAACTTAAAAAAAAACTCTTGTAAAACAGCTAAATCTAAGTAATAAATTTTATTATTTTAAATTTGATAAAATAATTCATGTTTATAATTATATAAAAGTGAATAATGTTTATTAAGAAAAATGTGTTCATTGCAACTTTTTATATCACGCTCCCCTATTTCATTCGTTAAATATTTTTTTATTCTTTTTTTTTTAGGTTCGCAAGATTGCTCCAGAGTTTTATGATGATTTGCCATCACATGATTCTTTTGCAGCTGTTGTTTGGGATTTTATAATGAATCCGAAAAATGGACCGTTCAATCGCACAGTACGACCAGCCTCCAAAGACCCTACTTTGCCAGACCCATGGGCTATGTAAACCCAGGGAGTTGTTATAGTGACCTCCCTGGTAAACCCCACTATATTTAGCAGCATTAAGGGGTCCCTGGAGGCTGGGTAACTGAGAACTGCATACTGATAACCACCCTTGTTTTGCTCTGATTTCAGCTATTTAACAATTATTAAAATATATTTTTTGAGTTAAATCTCAACAAATGATTATATCATTTCTATGGGTACAGTAACTTTATCAACTTGAAGATTTTAAAATGTACAGTAACTGATTAATAAAATAGGCCTACATCTTGAAATTCATGAATTTACTGCTGATATCTCAAAGCTCCCAACTTTTATAGGCTTACACAATTAATACCTGTAAGCTATTTAATGATTTCATATGTAAAGCTTTCAACAAATTTATATTAAATGAAGTACAGTAGGCCTACCTGCCTTCTACATGTTTAAATTTTAAGGGCGCTATTTTATGTAGCTTGTGCATATAGGGTGGTTGCTATTCATCTATGTATTATCATTAACATGGTATTATATTCGTGTATGAATTTCATATAGTGGGTGTTATTTAATATATTTTGCATAGGATGTGGTAAACCAAATCTTATATTAAGATACCCAAATATTAAGTAAGACGGGGTCTAAGGTGCGGGGTGATGTGTTGATTTCTTGATAGTAATATTTTTTTTTTCAATCATGACATGTTAACATAACATGACATGACATGTTCCAATCATGACATGTTATAAAATTAGAATCTTAAAAGCATATGCTCAGAAAGCACTAGTAGCGATGAATAAGTAATACTACTTTAAATATTCAGCATTACTATGAATAATATTAATCATTAACCTGTTGATTGATTTATTATGATAATTCAAAATATTGTGCCTTGAGAAAAAGTTTGTAAAGCACTAAGAAAGCCTTAAAATCATTCCATATTTCATCTAGTTCAGAGTTGCTGTGATAGTTCTATTGTTTTTTGTGCAATATAAACAGATTAAGAAACCTAAGCAACATGAATGAGTTATATAAATTTAACCTTACAAAATGTAGGCATAATTGTTGAGGCAACATTTTTGTGTATCTACGGCGGTTGGTGAGGTGCAGCCCCTCCAAAACACGCCCCCAGGTTCCCTCTTCTCTAACTTCAGTTGCTGAGTTAAAAGTTAACTCATTTCACCTTATTTTGCCAGCAAAGAACACCACTCAACTTAATCATCAAGTCCCTCCAATTAACCTTTATCCCCCCCACCCTCCTTATCAATCAGATACAGGGGCGGATTTAGGGGGGGGCCCGGCCCGGCCCCGGCCCGGCCCCGGCCCCCCCTTTTGGGAGGTTAAAAAAAAGAAAAAAAGAAGAAAAAAAGAGAGAAAAAGAAAAAAATGATAGCCCAGAATGCCTTAAATGTTATGTTCGGGCGTCTAGAACACAAAAATTTCGCGGGGGCATGCCCCGGACCCCTTACGACAGTGTTGTCTCAATCGGCCCAACTTTCGGCCCCCCCTTTTGGACATTTCTGGATCCGCCCCTGAGATACTCCACTGTGAGTTGCAAACTGTTTTAATAATCTACTTGCCTAACCAAGATTACCTACTGTAGAAATGGATAACCTTGACAATTACTATAAGTTAACATATCCCACTTACCTATAGGTGCCTACTCCCACCATATAGTTGTTGTACTGCTACCCATCGTTGACTAATTTATTCAACTTGATATTGAACTTAACATTCCATTATGCCATGGTGGTAGTCTTGGATTTTAACTAACTTCCAAGTTGTTTGATCTGAATTGTCTCACTTTTTTATCCCAAGAAACTTTAAAACCCAATTATTTATAGTATGATCAGTCACTATAACAACTCCCTGGTATGATGTACAATGTTATTGTAACATAACATGCAATACATGTTAACCAAATATTTGAGGTGTCCCACATACACTATGATAATATCTGGTTTGAGTGTAGACACTATTGTTAAGTTTAATTCTCCAAGAGATAACAGTAAGAGCATTATAACAATAGGGTTTTTAGTGGAAGGGAAAAAATATTTTTCCAAGATTTTTTCCCAGGCTCATCAATCAATCAAATGCATTTATATAGCGCCAGTATCCATAATAATGTTTCAAAGTTAAATTTGAAGTGCTTCCGATAACAGGTAGGCTTTCAGACGTTTTTTGAAAAACAAGCACGTATTGGTTGTCAAGCACTTTTGTATTCTTTACCACACAAAAAGTTGTTAACAACAACAGCGCGTATTTTGACATGCTGTCTTGATTTCACGAACTAACATAATCTACTTTGATTGTGTTAGTTTGTAATGTGAGCAAAGATATGACATGAGTTTTTATTTAGGGATATGAAGGAGGAATTTGTGAGATGAACCCAGTGTACGGGAGAAAGTGTGATGTCTTAAAGAAGATTGGTAATATAATGAGGTTTAAGTCCCTTTATGGGTTACGAGAAGCAATTTGAATTTAATGCGGGATTGGATAGGTAACCAGTGTAGACTTTGAAGTACCTATGCTAAATTGAGCACAATGATGCTGTTAGTAATCACTTTAGTGCCTACTCTATCTTTAATCCAAGGTGTCACAGTGATCCAAATGTTGCCATGGAGATCCAAGTGTTGCCATGGAGATCCAAGTGTTGCCTAGGATTTATAACCCTTGACAGTTGTTAACTTGGACATTAACCAAAGAAGTTGTTGAAATGAAATTAAGAAACATAATACAATGTAAATTGTAATATTACCACTTTTTAAAATACAGTAATTCATATTTTAGTATGCAATATGACAACCAAATATATGAGGTGTTAAAATCTACTGTACACCTATGATGTGTTTGGTTTGAGTGTAAACCATAGTGTTATCTTCACAATATAGTACTTAGGGACATTTCATGTTAGGGAAAAAATCACTACCATTTCATGCAATTTAATTAAAGTAAGCAGTATACAGTTCAAATAAGAATATATTTCTGTGAAAAGTAAGTATAATGTACAGTATGTACATTTTTTAAGATTATAACAAATTATCAATTGTATGAGATTTGAAGATTTTGTTCCATAATTATTATTATAATATTGTGTGATTTGCCAATCAGTTGTTCATACCAAAGTGCATTCTGGATAAAATATGGCTTTATCAGCAGGGGAATATCTAAAGGGGAGGCAGGGTGTACCAATCCCTCCCCACCACCCAAATAATATATTACACTCAAGTAGTTACAAAAAAAATTACAAAATTTACCCATCCTGTGTTCCTCACTTTCACATCAGCCTCGTGTTACTACCACTTACGGTGTAATTTCCATGTAAAAAGGTAGAAATATATATATATATATATATATATTATGTATATTTTTGCATCATATGCCAGAGGACAAAACTTATAGTAATATATTTGATGGATAAACCAGTTCATCACGTGACATGCCCTATGGAGGGTTTGTGGATAAACCATAGAAAGAAGTTGAAGAAATTATGACAAGTAATTCATTTCCCCCATTTTTGCCTATAAATGCACTTTGGTAAACATTTTAAGATGTTTCATTTGTAACTACCTTGATGGTCTGTCAATTTATGTTTTGATTGTGTTTGATTTAAACAAAAAATATTTTAATTATGTATAAAATGCATGGTAATTCCCATCGAAAATCATAAAAATAGAATAGTATTTTATTTATAATTGATGTACTTGTTCTTATTTATACCCATGTGAATGGTTTAAATGTGCATTTTTATTGTTTTATTAAAAGTGCAAAATTTTATATGATCTATATGCATTTTTTGGTGTTGTATTTTTATGAAATATAGAATTAATTGATGGTCAATTGGAAACAATAACTTGTATTTATTTATTGAGCAGCCTAGTTCAGTCAGCTGACAGGTGGTACATAACCACTGTCCCCCACCCCCAAAAAAGCTTGCCTTCCAGTCGTCTCCACCAGAGATTTGAAGCCAAAAAATCCTGCTAAAGTGTAGTTAAAAATCATATCACCTTATTTTGTCAGCTGGCGCCCCTCAATTTATCATCGAATCCTCCCACTTTACCTTCTCCCCCACCCCATGACTCCACCTTATTTCAGTGGTAGCGCAAGGATGTGCTCAACGGGTGGTTCGAGGCTCCCGACGGTGAGCCGATGTCTCCAGCGAAAGGGCCCCTGTCCGCCGACAGGGGCCCTTGCCCCGGTCCGCTGGCGCCACCACTACCCCATTTTAATACCAAATAACAGCTAGTGTGGCACTATTTTTGGAAGCCTCAGTACAAAAGATGTGCTTACTCAAGAGTGGTTTATATTTGTGTTCTATATAGGCCTGATTTTTTTTCCAACATTATTATAGAATTATTAATTCAAACCAGATGTTTTAATATGAAATATCAAGGTATGGTGTTGGATGTAGGCCTACTCACACTGTGAAGTTGATTTTTAAAAATAGAATATAATTATATACTATATTGCTGTGGGGGTTATTCAGCAGCAGTGCTTATTAACATAGTATATTGTTTATGTTATCTGTGATATAATAAACCATGGTATATAATTTAGATAGTGAAATAAATAATTCATGATACGATGAGGTCTATTAAAAATTGATATTAATTATTTTGACATTATCTTCTTTAAACTGCATAAGCTCAATCCTGAGCATTATGGCAGTTGGTGCGGTGACTGTAATACGATGTTCATGCAGATAAAATATAGTCAACATCAATAATGTTGACTATATAAAAATACGTTAACTTGATTTGAGGCAATTCATTTCGCACACTACCGTACGAATTGTGTGTGTGTATAAGTGTATAATACATACGTAAATAAACAACATGGGTGACATGTATACAAACTGCTGGTAGGTTCCAGTGCTAAGTTATATAATGAAAAAATATATTTATGAGGTCAAGTTGAGTAGGAGCTTGTAATGTAGGAAGGCTTTCTAAAGGACATGTATTGTTAATTTATAAGCTAATTCTAATCCATATTATTATACCTTTTGAGCATAATTGAGTATAACATTTTTTTTAATATAATTGCGTGGATATATACTGCTGGATTTCCACTAAATTACGTACTGAATTTGGTAGTTTACCAGAAGATTGTGTGTTTTTTTTAAATTATTACTTTTATCTTGTTTGTTTTTTCATTGTAAACCGAGACAATAAAATATAACATTTAGGGTGATGGTCGGACAGGATCTCAAAAATGAACCTAATCACAATTGTATGGTATTCTCAACCGCCCGACTTCACACAAAATGTGTCTTAAATTATTTTTAACAAGTTTTGCAAAAAAAAAATGTTTTGGAATTTTCAACCACTCAGCTT